TTCCAAACACGGTTGCTCCGCACCATGAAGCGGGAGCGTGCATGCTTTTCAAACAGTATCGCGCATCACATCACCTGTGCGCGCGATTGATCATCCTTTTATTCCAACCCATTTATTCCAGCTCATTGTGTAAACGTAGCCCCGCGGATGTTTCTGCGGACCGCGATTTACATCCCGGGAGGTACGTATTCTAGCGGTTTTTGTTTTCGCGGAAAGCAATTTTTGTAGGGCATGCTGCTTCTTGATTCTAAGATCACATTTGCATGCATGTTGGGCCAACTTTATCGTCGAACCCTGCTTTTAAGAAAACTATCATTTAATTAGCCAAAGTGGCTAGTGAGAGTGTCTGTCTAACCCACCGCAGCAGAAACCTACCCGCATTTGTCGGGTGTTAATGAAAAGCCCTGAATATAAATAGACTGTTAGGTTGGGGTTAAGGTTGCAAAGCTTCTTATAGTCAGTTAAATGTCTGTTGAAGGAACAGTATTAACAGATATTAAGCATACAGCCAACTAATACTCAAATGGACCATCAAAATAAAGTGTTAAAAAAAATCCCAAAACAATAATCTATTACATCTTTAACTGAAGTATTTCAGGAGTGAAATGTCCTGTGATGTGATCTACATGCAAGTATTCAGTATAAGCCTGTTCGTGTGAAAGATACACAATTCAGCTTGCATTTACATCAACATCTGAAAGCACACATCGCTTTGACTCTGAAAGGTAAATTCAATTTAGGGCTTCAATTTCCTCTTGTGGGTATGTAATGCGGTTGTCATGTTCAATGAGAAATTGCTTCCCCTCTGAGGAGCTTTGTGGGAACCGAAATAGGCTGCTATGACATGCTCGCTCCCCGTGTCCTTCTAGAGAAGATTAAAAGCTTGATATTGAAATCATGCTTCATCACTAATGCAAGACATCTTATTTACTTGCAATGGGAAGAACGTCAGACGTGAAAAACACGTTTCTGTCCTATTCGCGCACGCAGCGTTTCAAATCAAGGATCTTCAAGCCCCGCTTGGCTGCGGCTCCATTATCTTCGCTTCCTGCAGTACCCTAAGATTTGTGCCTATTCCCTGGCGTACTTTAGCCCTAGGGCTGTCTGTGTTGATTTATATTTGACAGGCATTGAACTCATCACAGCCTTGTGCGAATATCCGTATTGACCTGTGGCCACTCGCATTAAATCTTATCGAGTTTAGTCTTGCATGATGTTCGACCTCCTCGAGGAAGGCTGTCTTAGAGGAATCGGAAAATTCATAGCTATAGCATTTAAGGACAGATCCATCTTATAGGCAGCATGGGGTCGATATGAAATTGCAGCTATTTGTGCTTTTACATTGGATTTGTGCATATGAAAATGCCTCTTCTGCAGCACAGAACAGGTGGATATGCCAGACATGGCATTAAGCAGAACACGGAGGTTTTACTTGACTTTGAATGAAAGCGTTGTCCGAAAATTTAAGTTGCAAATAGCTGCTGCATAAAAAAACTCAATGAGAGTTCATTTATGTGCAAGTTAGAGTTTAAGGTTACTCAAAAGCCCTTTTCCATAAATACATCTATTGAAAATCAACCTGTAATTTAAATAGTAATGCATCTATGTAACCTCATACTCAAATACACTCACCGGCCACTTTATTAGGCACACCTGTCCAACTGCTCGTTAACGCAAATTTCTAATCACCCAATCACATGGCAGCAACTCAATGCATTTAGGCATGTAGGCATGGTCAAAATGATCTGCTGAAGTTCAAACCAAGCATCAGAATAGGGAGGAAAGGTTTACTTGGAATTTTCACGCACAACCATCTCATGGTCAGAAAAAGAGAAAATATCCAGTGAGCGGCAGTTCTGTGGGTGCAAATGCCTTGTTGATGCCAGAGGTCACAGGAGAATGGCCAGACTGGTTCGAGTTGATAGAAAGTCAACAGCAACTCAAATAACCACTTGTTACAACCAAGGTCGCATAACACGTCCAACCTTGAGGCGGATGGGCTACAGCAGCAGAAGGTCACTCCTGTCAGCTAAGAACAGAAAAATGAGGCTACAATTTGCACAGGCTCACCAAAATTAGACAATAGAAGATTGTAAAAACGTTGCTAATGTCTAATGTGTCTTAATTTCTGCTCTGACATTTTGGTGGTAATTTGAATCCAACAACATGAAAGCATGGCTCCATCTTGTCTTTTATCAACGGTGTAGGCTGGAAGTGGTGGTGTAATGGTGAGGAGGATATTGTCTTGGCACACTTTGGGCCCATTAGTACCAACAACCACAGCATACCAGAGTTTTGTTGCTGACCATGTCCATCCTTTTATGACCACAGTGTACCCATCTTCTGATGGTTACTTCCAGTAAGATTATTTGCCATGCCATAAAGTGCGAATCATCTCAAACTAGTTTCTTGAACATGACAATGAGTTCACTGTACTCAAATGGCTTCCACACTCAACAAATATCAATCCAATTGAGCACCTTTGGGATGTGGTGGAATGGAAGATTCACATCATAGATCTGCAGCCGACAAATCTGCAGCAACAGTGTGATGCTGTAAGAGGCTAAATTATCATATGCATTTGTTTATATGACAAAACATGTATTTTTGACTCAAGAAGGTCCATACTGACTCCAAAGGCAGATACTGATAAGATCAGGGCCTAATACGTAAACTTTGGGGGTTTTATGATGTAGTCACATGTTGATTGTTCAGTTTGAATGTCTCAGTATTTGGGCTTTAGTCACATGGTCAAGAAAGATACAAAATAGGTGGTAAACTTGGGCCCTGTCTGTCTTGTCCTGCCCTCGTCTTTTTACTGCTCTGCTCCTCTCCTCCTCTGGAGTCTATCTTCTCTGACTCTACTGCAATCAGGCTAACTTCTGGGCCTGCTCTCTTTGTCTCTCTCTCCCTCCCCCTGTGTCTCTCCATCTACCTCTGGTAACTTTAATTTTACATTTAAGCAAGGTACAATTTATATTATATGTTTTATCATTTCTTATTTTATCATACTATACAGCATTTTGTAATTAATTCAGTTGTAGCCATAGAGAACTATTGTCATTAAATCATCTCATTTTCAAGTATTTGTGAATTACTTTTGATTTAACATCAACATTTAATTGTTCCATATTGCAATACAATACAATCACATAATATCAACGCTCTCCCACATTTATAGCTATTAATACTGCCATTATTTCGTTTTTGGTATCAGATTGTAGAAGAATGGTTTGACTAGAAATGTACAGTTTTTTACCGTTATTCTGATAACTTTTTAGTTGCTCGACAGAACTACAGTTCGAACCACTTTGGTTAAAACCCATTCTTACAATACTATCATGTCAATATGGACCAATATCTCTGGGGAATATTTTCAGTACCAGTTGAATCTATGCAATAAAGGATTAAAGCAGTTCTGAAGGCAAAAGTGGGTCTAACCCAGTACTTGTAAGGTGTACCTAATAAAGTGGCCGGTGATTGTATGTAATCTAACATACAGTAGGAAATCACTTGTCTCTTACTAGTCTTTTACTGTTCACTAGTGTCTCACAGACACCACTAGTCAATTACTCTGCTCTGCTGGGATCTTGATCTGCTCTTCTTCTCTGACTGTTGTGTGTGTGTGTGTTTTTAAGGGATTTTCAGTAAGGTTAAGATCAGGGCTCTGGTCAGCCACTTCATTATTTCAGTGTTTTCAGCTTCAAGCAACCACTTTACCTGTTTTGCTGTGTGATGTTTTTTTTCTGTCCTGTAAAAAAAACATACTGGCTGATTAAGTGATGAACACAGGAAGGAAATGCATGTTGTTCAAGGAGCTTCTGATAAACATTTACTGCAGAAAACCCCACCAAACTATGACCCTTTACTCCAGCTTTACTGACTTCTGCACACATCAGAACCGCATAAATAAAACAAACTTCATTACTGAAGTGAACTTTGGATTACTTTTCTGTTAACATTCCACAGCAATGGTTAGTCGAGCCTTTTGATTCTTTCTACTGATAAAGTTTTGGTCTCTGCTGAGGCTTCCAATCCAAATTCTCTTTGACGCTGAGACATTGTATGTCAAGATACAGACCCTAATGTCTTTTCGCTGCAGTGTTCAACTGATTTCCATTGAGATTCTCCACATTATCCTGTTCCTCTGCGCATTTGTCTTTTGTGGATGATCAACCTTTTTGTCGGACTTGAATGAGATTGTGACAAAGTAAAGGTGCAATGTTCTATAAATTTGGAATGACCAACTTCTCTCGAGAATCGTCTCTTTGGTGTTCATTTGAAAAGCTTCAGAGCATTTCAGTCATTTCAGAATGACTCTCCATCTTGCAAAGTCAGTAAAAACTGGAAAGTTTAATAGACAGTTAAATAGGATTTTTCTAAGAATTATTGACATATCAACCAGGTAACAGACTAACACCAATAACAGGAATCTGAACATGTTCTCTAATTCTGATCAGAGCTTTTTTCAGATATCTTATTTAGTTTTTTTTCTACTGTGCTTCAAAATGCTCAATAAGCTTTAAACAGGACTTAGTAGGGGAATGTATAATACTGCAGCTTGTTCTCTGTTTTTATGTCTATATATAAGGTTATATAATACAATAAGATTCCATTAGTTAAGATTAATATATTTAATCACATATACCAGTATATTTTGGTGTATTTAAACTCAACAGTATTATAAAACCCTCATATTCATTCAAAGAAAAGTATACTAAAAGTTTACCTAACATCTTTGGGAATAGAAACATTGAAATTCAAATGAGTTCACTGTTAAGCAAGTTTGTTAGATTAGCTCTGGTTTTGGGTAATACAGTCAATGTTTCTAATTCAAACTGTCCAGATATGCCTTGTTATTAGTTTTACTGCTTGTTATTGGGGAATATAAGATACCTGGAATGATGTGATTGACCAGTCAGAATTAAGTATGCGAGAGAATTTTGTAATAACTTAAAAAACCTTTGACAAAAAAAAAAGAAATAAATGGCAAAGGATTCTACAACAATCTGTTTTATTACTAAAACTAAAAGAGCATAATAGATTCTGTTTTCATCTTTGTGTCAAAGACCTGCAAAAAATTCAAGAATATAAACAGACAAAATTCACTTGAAGTGAGGCTAAAAAAACTGGAAAATGATCTTGGCTTGTGATATGACCATTAATGTTTTCCACAAGACCATTTTACTGTACAAGTGGATTGCACAACAGCGATTGTCCTTCATTTTAGTCATCGTCATACTTGTCCTCTGCTGCTCTATCCCAGTTCAACAGTGGTCTTCTGTCTGGAGGGACAGACGGCTCGATTCGCTGCCACCGACTGGGTGGCCAGATGATGTGAGACGCCCGACCGTGAACAAGACCCAGAGAAACCTGCGGAGAGCACAATCATCAAGCTGCTGCTCATAAACTACCATGAAGAGCTATAAAATCAGACAAAACGGCCCATTTCTAAAGGAGAAAGTAGCTTTTGATAGACTGCCGTTTAACAAAGACCTACTGGAACAAGAATTACATGCTGTTTGTTGCGAACTGAATACAAAGTGATACAGAGAATGGCACTTCGTTGAGTTTTACAACCAAAAAGACACAAGAGAGATTCCCAAAAACTTTGATTTGGAGTGTGTACTCACTTGAAGGGAAGGATATACTGTAGTGTACACAGTAGGAAACACAGTAGGAAAAGACAATACTAGTTTAGAAGCACTTACTTTAGAATTCAATTGGAATATTTTTGAAATTGTGTTGTTTTATTAGTTGTTCATTTTTTTTTTTTTTTTTTGCTTTTTTAATATTTCAGCTTAAAATTTTTGTATCGCCAACCTGGCTACTAAATTCACCCCTTAGAAGCCAGAATTTTACATTTAAAAGCTGAAAATAGGACATACAAAGTCAACAAAACTTTGACATTCAAAGTTAAATTATGAGATAAAACGGCAGAAAGGGATTATTTATATTAGTTCTTTTTTATTTGAACTTTTAATAAATTGTATCAAAAATGTGAATCAATTGTGAATCAATCATCATTTTCACTTGTTTTAAGTCACAATTCTGACAAATGAAGTGATAATTTAGATTGCTTTATCTATATCTATGTTTATTTTTAACTTTTGATTTAATCATTTAACTTTATCTGACAATTTCAACACTTAAGTCATAATTTCATAAATTTTTCATTAATTCGTTTGTTCATTTATTTGTTCGTTCATTCGTTCATTCATTCATTCATTCATTCATTCATTCATTCATTCATTCATTCATTCATTCATTTTCTTGTTGGCTTAGTCCCTTCATTAATCAGGGGTTGCCACAGCGGAATGAACCGCCAACTTATCCAGCACGTTTTACGCAGCGGATGCCGTTCCTGCCGCAACCCAACACTGCATTCACAGTCATACACTATGGCCAATTTAGCATATGCAATTAACATGTACCGCATATCTTTGGACTGTGGGGGAAACCGGAGAACCCGGAGGAAACCCACGCCAACATAGGGAGAACATAACACAAAGATGCTAACTGACCCAGCCAAGACTCGAACCAATTCAATTCAATTCAATTCAATTCAATTCAATTCAATTCAATTCAATTCAGCTTTATTTGTATAGCGCTTTTACAATGTAGATTGTGTCAAAGCAGCTTCACATAAATGGTCATAGTAACTGGAACAGTGTGGTTCAGGTTTTAGTGTTTAAGTTCAGTTCAGTTCAGTTTAGCTCTGTTCAGTGTGATTTAATCATTACTGAGAGTTCAAACACTGAAGAGCAAATTCATCGATGCGTAGCTCTACCAATCCTGAACCATGCGAGGCAGTGGCGACAGAGGAGAGGGAAAAAAAACTTCACCCGATGGGAGTGAAGAAAAAAAACCTTGAGAGAACCAGACTCAGTTGGGCACGACCATTTTAATTTCTCCGCTGGCCAAAAGTCTTGTGCAGAAATTCATTCGCCGTGGTTTATGCTGGAAGATGGCCTCAATGAGAACCAGTGACATTTTTGCTGTGTTGTGATCGTGCTACCCACTGCACCACAGTAATGCCCTTCTCATTTTTCAACAGTGACTTATATCACACTTTTTAATTAATTCATAATTTTCATCACATAATTATAATTTTTGTCGTAATTTTTAGTATAATCATTATATATATATATACATAAAATTTTCATCATTATTTTTATGAAAAATATCATTTCATAATTATAAAACAATTATGAATAATTAAATTAATTAACATCATTAGGCTGTTTCCAAGGCAACATTTCAAATTTTTTGTTTTAAGTAGAAATAATAAAGTAACTAAAAGCTAGTGCTGTGCAAAGATTGTATATAATCCAAAATAAAAGTTTGTTTTGACATAGTGGGCTCTATTTTAACGATTTAGAAGCAAAGTCTAAAGTGCAGGGCGCAAAAGCATTAAGGGCATGTCTGAAACCACTTTTGCTATTTTAGTGATGGAAAAATACGATCTGCGCTCCGGTGCATAGTCTAACAGGGTTGTGCTTATTCTCTTAATGAGTTATAGGTGTGTTTTGAGAATAACGTGCATTAAACCAATCTCACTCATCTCACATTTCCTTTAAGAGTCAGTTGTGTTGTGCCATGGCACATTAGCTATTTATATGATGGACTTTGTGAGAGGAAAAACTGAATGCTCACAGAGTTCATTTTGCTGTGTTTTGTATTTGCCTTAATTAAATTTGGTGTTTTTTAATAATTTACTATTTTTATCTTTTAAATAATTTCCCAGTATGTAACACTTAAGAACGTAATTTGTAGGACTTTCTCATTTCAGTGCAACACAATAGAAGGTATTTCATGAACTCAGGCCTGTACTAATAATAAAGTCTTACACAATGGTGAGTAAATAATGATCGAATCTTCACTTTGTTGTCTGAACTGTCCCTTTAAGTCCACAAATTGGACGTCTGAGTCGAATGAGTGTGACATTTTGCAGTGTTTTGTGAGCAAAATAAACCCACAGTCTCAGACAGTCAGGCTTTGTGACCTGACTTTCAATCAGAGCTTTGTGAAAAGGCTGAAGTCTTTTCAATGCTTCCAAAACAAAAATAGAAAGATTTTGCAGAATTAAATATCGGTCTAAAGTCTTCTAAACATTTAAAGCAAGACACTGCAGGCAAAAGCACAGCATTTGAGGAATATTTCATGCCTTCATAGTATTTTTTGTTTCCATTTAAATGTAAAGAAAACATCCAAAATACACTTTTAAGAGCTTCTTTTGTCAACTTTTTTTAATTTAAGTGTCCAGATCACAATACACATATTTTAAGGACGGAAAAATATGCTCTGCGACCTGGTGCATGGTTGTGCTTATTCTCCTAATGGGCCCTATCATACCGCCGGCACAATGCAGTGCAAGGCACGATGCAGTTGTTTGCTAGTTTCAGCTTGGCGCAAGAGTCGTTTTGACATTTTGCACCACGCTGTTTAAATAGCAAATGCATTTGCGCTCATATGTGCGCCCATAGGTGTTCTGGTCTAAAAAAGGAGGCGTGTTGAGGCGCATTGCTGGCTCGTTGCTATTTTGAGGAACAATAATAGACCAGATCAAAGCAGGTCTTTAGTCCAGCGCAGAGCGCGTTAGTTGTGTGCCTCACTTACACACTGCTTAATACACACAGGATATACAGCACATACGCAAATATCTTTGCATATGAAAAAGAATTAAAGGATTAAAATATTACAAAAATTATTATTTTCTAGCCTACATAAATATAAAAACCAAACTTTCAGGCCTTCTTCATCTTCAGGGGGCTTTTTTTGTCTATTCAAGACAACTTGGTTTGTATAATGTTATTATTATTAGCAGTATTATTTATTATATGCATATTTATATTTGTTTTATTACTTTATAAGCTTAGATTTGTCCACCTGTCAGGTTTTAGACCATATGGGGCACAGCATGTATGTTTGGATATAACTCAGTTTCTTTGACCACACTTCATTATTATTGTTCATTTATTAGAACTGAATTTAGAAATAGTTTTGAAACAAATCTTTCCGCTTAACAAACGATATTAATTATGTATGGGCTAATGGATGTCTGTGCATACAACACGTTTTCCTATCCACAAGAAAGTAAAAGGAGGCTCATCTCTCATTCTCGCAATGTAGATGCTCTGTTTAACAGTGTTCTTACTAGTGAAGCGTTCAGTTTTTCCACTTACAAAATCCGTCATGTAAATAGCGAATGCGCCATGGCGCAACGCAACTGACTCTTAAAGGGAATGGGAGATGAAACTCTGATTGGTTTAATATCAAAACACACCTATAACTCATTAAGAGAATAAGGTCTGCCCTGTTAGACCATGCACCACGGCGCAAAGCAGATTTTTCCATCCTTAAAATAGCAAAAGTGGATTCGGACAAGCCCTTAATGCTTCTGCGCCCTGCGCTTTCGACTTTGGGCATGGATTGTCAAAATAGAGCCCAATGAGTTATGGGTATGGGTTATGGGTACAATCAGAGTCTCATCTCCCATTCCCTTTAAGAGTAAGTTGAGTCGGGGCATGGTGCATTTGCTATTTACATGGCGGACTTTGTACGTGGAAAACCTGAACATTACACTAGTAAGAAAACAGTTAAACAGACCATCTGTAGCACGAGGATAAAGACTGAACCTCCTCCATTCGGCCTCTTTACTTGATCTTTCACTTTTACTCTTTACTCCTTCACTTCTGTGGATAAGGAAACTGTGTTCTCCACACTCCACTGAAGACATCATTAGCCTACATATTTAATTTTGTTTGTTACAGGCAAACATTAGTTTAAAAACTATTTGTAAATTCAGTTCTAATTTCTAGCAAATGAATAAATGAACAATAATAATGAAGTGTGGTCAAGAAAACCAAACACACATCCTATTGTTATGCCCCATATGCATACGTCTGCAAAACTTGACAGGTGGACAAATCTAAGCTTGTTTTTATTAAAACAAATATAAATATGCATATAATAAATAATACTGCTTATAATAATAACATTAACAATAATAACAATAACAATAACAATAACAACAAATTGTCATGAAAAAGCCCCAGCACATGAAGAATGCATGGAGGCAGTGGTTTTTATTTATGTAGAAAACAATAATTTTTCTAATATTTTAATTTTTTTTTTCATATGTACGTATATTTGCGTATTGCTGCACATCCTGTGTGTATTAAGTATATATGCGTTTAATGTGCTCTGTGCCGGACTTAACACCTGCTTTTAGTTTTCAATTGCGCAGTCTATTTCAGTTCCTCAAAATAGCAACGTGCCAACAATATGCCCTAACACACCTCCATTCTAGACCAGGATGCCCATGAGTCCACAAAGAGGCACAAATGGATTTGCTATTTAAACGTGATGCAAAACAGAAAAATTAGGGTTATGCTGGTCTGTAAATAGCAACAAATTGTGCCGGGTGTATGATAGGGCCCTTAATCTATTAAATACATTATTTTTTTTTACAGAGTAGTATATTCATACATAATCTGATTTAAACATTTTATTTTATTCGTTTTAGTAGTTGAGAGTATTTTGTCAACTGTGGAATAAAATGACACTCCTAAAATCCTCTCTTTAAATGTTTTTTTGATTATAATGTGACAAATAAATAAATAAATAGATTTTTGAGAGGAAATGCACACTACCTGACAAAAGTCTTGTCGTCAATCCCAGTTGTAAGAGCAACTTATAATAACTTGACTTCTAGTTGACTTCATACATTCAGCAACATAAACAGCCTGAGATATCAAGACATTTGTGCTGTCCATTACAATACAAACCACAGGAGAGGGCAAATTCTTCAGCAGGACAGCGCTCCTTTTCACACTTTAGCCTCCACATCAAAGTTCCTGACAGCAAAGAAAGTCAAGGTGCTCCAGGATTTGCCAGGCCAGTCACCAAACATGAACATTATTGAGCATCTCTGGGGTGAGATGAAGGAGGCGGCATTGAAGATGAATCCAAAGAATCTTGATGAACTATGTGAGTCCTGCAAGAACACTTTCTTTGCCATTCCAGATGACTTTATTAATAAGTTGTTTGAGTCATTGCAGAGATGTATGGATGCAGTGGTTCAAACTCATAGGTATCATACACAATTTCAATTCTTTTTTCCACTGCACAATGACTTTATGTTCTATACTGTTAAGTGATCTAGAGGCCTTTGCCTTTCATATAAGCCACTTCTGATGCCCAAATGATCAACTAAAAGTCAAGTTATTATTTGTAGTTCCTAAAACTTGAATAGACATCAATATTTTTGTCATGTAGTGTATGCTTTTAATTAAATAATGCCTAATTTGCATTTTGAAACAACATCATAGAATTCTTTTATTTACTCACGCTTGACTTGCTCCAAACCAGTTAGTGTAGTATTATTTATTGTTTGTTAGTTCTGTTGAATATGATTGCGTTAAGCAGAACAACAACAACAACATAACTTAAACGGGTTTGTAAGGGTGAGTAAATGACAGAATGTTCATTTTTGGGTGAACTATCCCTTTAAATATTGCCTTGAAAAGGCGTTTAGTGGAAAGTCACACACATAAATGCACACAAACAAACATTTTGCTGCATAATACATCAAGTCAAGGTAACAGCGCAGTCTGTCCTGACAAAAGTGAAAGCAATTGCCTGAAACATGTAACAAGAATATTTGCTTATTGATTTATGACCCGATGGGTTTTCTCCAAACACACTCCCTCCTGGTCTCTAAAAAAAAAACCTAAAATATTTTGAGTAATGGATAAAAAAACAAACCTAGAAAGTTTGAGATTTAACAAGAATCCGATTCATTTGCTTTCTGACAAGAAGGACAAACGTTCAGTGACTAAACAAACGGGACAGTTTGTTTTTCTGAACACCCAAACCAACATTTAAAAAAACTTTTCAAGGACTAATGGGAGCGACAGAGTTTGACGTATTGGGAATGACTATAACATGACTGGCTGCTCTGTTTAATAATGTATCTGAGGAGAAGCGTCTTCAAAGAACCAATAATATCTCAATCTCTGTACATTACAGAGCGGCAGATCAAGGCTGTTAACAGAGTCCCGAGAAAGAGGCAATCTTTTGTCTGATTGTTGAATTTTTTATAATCGCGTCCCTATTTGTGGCTGAATCTGCCTACGGTGGGAATGTCCGCAAAAGATCTTTTGAGATGGAAGCTTGAAAGCCACTCGCACTGATCACCTGTGGATCAGGCACAGACAAATGTGTCTAAAATATATTGATGTTTAGGAGAACATGAGAGGCTGGATACTTTAGCACATACAGTTTCTTATAAATACTGTAAAATGTACTTCTGAAAGCAATACTACTACTACTACTACTACTCATAATAATAATAATAATAATAATAAAATTAAAATAGAGTGTTTAGAGGTGGTGCAGTGGGTAGCACAATCGCCTTACAGCAACGTCACTGGTTCAGTTGGCATTTTTATGTGGAGTTTGCATGTTCTCCCAATGTTCATGTGGCTTTCCTCTGGGTGCTCCAGTTTCCCCATAGTCCAAAGACATGTGCTATAGGTGAATTGAATAAGCTAAATTGGCCGTTGTATATGTCTGTAAATACAACAGTGTATGCATGTTTCCCAGTGTTGGGTTGCAGCTGAAAGGGCATTTGCTGCGCAAAACACATGTTGAATAAGTTGGCGGTTCATTCTGCTGTGACGACCCGTGAATAAGCAGAAAAAGAAAATGAATGAAACAATAAAAAAAAAATAATAACAATAATAAAAACGATTGTCACTACAAAACTACTATATTATCATTATTATCATTGTATTATAATAATAATAACAACGGAAAACAACAATAATATTAATTATATTAAATTACAATACTATTACTATATTTTTATTATTACAAAATAAATAAATAATAGAAATCTACTTTAAAGGAATAATGGCACGGTTTGAGAATTATTTTGACTGAGAAAAAAAAAAATTTGTACATCTTTAATATACTGTTGTTAAAAAAATTAACACACATTGAAGACAAGGATGGTTATCTCTTTTCGTCAATTATTTCAAAACAATGTGGATAGTTCAACAGGAGAAGCAGGTAAGTGATATTCGTGGAATGAGAGCAGTCTTGTAAGCAGTACATAAGGTAAACAAGGATCTTCATTCAACCACCAGAGTATTATAGTCACTTCCCGTAATCACTGCATGTGCATCTACAGGATAGGAGAAACATCTATGGGAAAAGGGAAACATCCATTGAAGAAGGCGAGCAGGAAATAAGGTGAGGTGAACCATCTGACTTTGATTCCAGCCGACTGGAAAAGGTGAGTCTTTATAGTGACTGTGATTGCTGTTGCAGGTGTGTGTAATTAGAATTCTGGTGATTGTGCACGGGTGTGGTGGGAGGTGGCTGGAGAGGGAAAATGGTGATTGAAGCAGCAGGAGCGAGATGGTGAGGGAGAATGGTGATTGGAGCAGCAGAAACGAGCCGGGAATGTGACACATATTGACCTTATTCTAAAATTCGGAAATGCGCCTGTTTTCGCGATTGTCTTAGAACTTCCGATTCAGTTGCCTATGGGACAAATGACTAGAAATAATAAACGGCAGAAAATGGTCAAAATACTTGCTCTACAAACAAATGCTTACATGACTATACAGACCAAGTAGAATAATATAATAAGAAAATATCAAATTGCAACATCAAGCAGCGTAATGAGCAGTTTTTAACGTCAAAAAAGGAATGGAAGTGAAGGAGAAAAGAAAATAAGGTGAATAGAATAGAATATTTTATTTGTTTTAAGCCTTGAGATATTTAAAATATTATTATATTCCCTGCGCAATTAGGCAAGATGTGTATGGCATGATTTGTTGCTATTTTCAGACCAGCGCAACCTTAATTTTCACGTTTTTAGCCACTTTGTGTTTCAGCATTCAGTGTGCTGATCTAGAAAGGAAGTGTGTTAAGGCGCATTGTTGGTGTGTTGCTATTTTGAGGAACTGAAAGTTCTTAAGTCCAGCGCAAAGCATTTTAGCACAATTATATGCATATTTATATTTGTTTCAACAAAATCAAGTTTAGATTTGTCCACCTGTCAGGTTTTGGAGACATATTCATCATCATATGGGACATAAGAATAGGACATGTGTTTGGAAATAACTCAGTTTTTTGACCACACTTCATTATTATTGTTTATTAATGCATTTGCTGGAAATTAGAACTGAATTTAGAAATTGATTTGAAACAAATCTTAATGTATGTTATTCTCAAAACCCACCCATAACTCATTAAGAGAATAAGCACAACCCTGTTACAGCATATTTTTCCATCCTTAAAATAGCAAAAGTGGATTCGGACATGCCCTTAATGCTTTTGCGCCCTGCGCTTTGGACTTTGCGCCTAGATTATTAAAATAGAGCCCACTATGTCAAAACAAACTTTTATTTTGGATTATATACAATCTTTGCACAGCACTAGCTTTTAGTTACTTTATTACTTCTACTTAAAACAAAAAATCAGAAATGTTGCCTTGGCAACAGCATAATATTGTTTATTAATTAAATTATTCATAATTGTTTTATAATTATGACATCATAATTTTTATGAGATTCATAAAAGATATTCTGAGACTCTGATTGGTTTAATGCACGTTATGCCATAACTTATTACGAGAATAAGCCAACCCTGTTAGACCATGCACCAGGAAGTAAAGCACTTTTTTTTTAATCCTTAAAAGAGCAAAAGTGGATTCGGACATGCCCTAATGTTTTTGCACCATAAGCTTCAGACTTTGCGCCTAGATCGTTAAAATAGAGCCGATAGTCTTCTTAATGTTTTTCAGTTTTGTAATTACATTTTTATCCTTTAGTTGAGTTAATCCTTATATTGTACGAAGCAAACACTGTTCAACATTAATTAATTTCAGGCAAATTAACACTGTTTGCATGGCACATGATACTTCGATTACTGTGAAATTAAAATTTGCATTTTAAAATATCATTTTTTTCCTAAAATGAATACATTGTACAGAGCTGCAGTACATATGACTGCACCCTAGGCACAGTGTGTAATTCTTCAGTATTCTTTATGTAATTTTAATAATAATGCCACTAATTAAATGGCTTATTTTCTGGATTTGACCATACTTTGAAACATTTTGGATAATGCAACTAAAAAAGTAAGCAAAATATATAATGCTGTTCTAGTGGTTTTTGTGTACTTTAATCAAAACAAATCTTACATCTTGTGCCTTTACCTTTCTCCATCCTTCATTTTATGTCTATGAGATTTCCTCTTAGCAAGCACTTAATTAATTCATTACCGGCCCAAATGCGTTGCTGTCGAAACTGTGTCCATGATGGTCCCCCTCGATCCACAGATGTCCATCTGGAACTCTTACATAACGGTTTTTATATCCCAGCGTTCTGATAAAAGAAAAACAAACGATGCGTTAACACAGTAATGAATTCCGATTGCTCTTAATGCAGGAAAACACCAGACTATTTCCCAGTTTTGGGTTGTTTATGCTACAGTTGACCAGCTACATGCATCCAGCAATCCTGCATTTGGCTCTTGGCCCGCTCTCTAAATCTCAGATCAATAATTAATGTTCTCACAGCTGCTGCGGTCTTTGTTTTATATTTAAGATGACTTTCTGACAAAGCAATAGCTCATATCCATTGCAGGCAGTGCTGCGAGCGTTATGGAGCCAGGAAATTTTAGGATTTTTAATCGCTTTTCTACCTCAGCCATCACAGAACCAAATTAACTTCATCTCCTTATGAATTGTAATGAAATGAAACTCTTCAGTCATCAAACCTGGGATTTCCTCGAGCGAATCCATCAGGATCACCTTGAGATGCAATGTTGGTGGCTGTGAATTACCGGATGAAACATGAAAGGTTTGTGTAAAAAAAAACACAAACCACTGCAACAATGCTACACTCAAAAAATAAATCACGACAGAGTTTATTATCAATAGTTTGGAACCTTTTGATTTCATTGAATTTGTCAGTTTTTATGTATGTTATCAGATTCCTTAGAATCAATGAAAATGTGTTAAAATACGGATACTATTAGTTTTATTAGGTTATGAATGTAGTATGAATACAGTGCATCCGGAAATTATTCTCAGTACTTCACTTTTTCCATATTTTTTAATGTTAGAGCATTATTCCATAATGGATTAAATTCATTTATTTCCTCAAAATTCTACAAACAATACCCCATAATGACAATGTGAAAAATTGCTGCAAATTAAAAATAAAAAACCTGAAAAATCACATGTACATAAGTATTTACAGGCTTTGCTCAATACTTTGTTGATGCACCTTTGGCAGCAATTACAGCCTCAAGTCTTTTTGAATAAGATGCCACAAGCTTGGTACACCTGTCTTTGGGAATTTTCGCTCATTCCTCTTTACAGTACCTCTCAAGCTCTCTCAGGTTGGATGGGTGCACAGCCATTTTCAGATCTCTCCAGAGATTTTCAACAGGATTTAGATCTGGGCTCTGGCAAGGCCACTCAAGGATATTCACAGAGTTGTCGTGAAGCCACTCCCTTGATATTTTGGCAATGTGGTTTAGGTCATTGTCTTGCTAGAAGATAAACTTTCGCCCCAGTCTGAGGTCAAGAGCGCTCTGAAGCAGGTTTTTATTCAGGATGTCTCTGTGCATTGCTGCATTCATCTTTCCCTCTATCCTGACTAGTCCTTCAGTTCCTGCTGCTGAAAAACATCCCCACAGCATGATGCTAGCACCATGCTTTACTGTAGGGATAGTATTAGCCTGGTGATGAGTGGTGCCAGGTTTTTTTCCAAACGTAAAGCCTGGCATTCACTTCAAAGAGTTCCATTTTAGTCTCATCAGATCAGAGAGTTTAGTTTCCGATGGTCTGAGAGTCCTTCAGATGCCTTTTGGCAAATTCCAGGTGGGGAGTGGCTTCCGTCTGGCCACTCTACCATACAGGCCTGATTGGTGGATTGCTGCACAGATGGTTGTCCTTCTGTAAGTTTCTCCTCTCCTCACAGAAGTACGCTGGAGCTCAGACAGAGTGACCATCGGGTTATTGATCACCTCCCAGACTAAGGCCCTTTTCCGCCCATCATTCAGATTAGATGGCTGGCCAGCTCTAGGAAGAGTCCTGGTGGATCCAAACATCTTCCACTAACGGATGATGGAGGCCACTGTGCTCATTGGAAGTTTCAGAGCAGCTGAAACTTTTCTGCAATCTTCCCCACCCTTTTGCCTTGAGACAATCCTGTTTCGGAGATCTACAGGAAATTCCTTTGTCTTCATGCTTGGTTTGTGCTTTGACATGCACTTTCAACCCTGGAACCTTATATAGACGGGTGTTTGCCTTTTCAAGTCATGTCCAATTAACTGAATTTACCACAGGTGAACTCCAATTAAGCTGCTGAAACATCTCAAGAATGATCAGTGGAAACAGAATGTACCTGAGGTCAATTTAGAGCTTCACCACAAAGGCTGTGAATACTTATGTACAGTTGAAGTAAGAATTATTAGCCCCCCTGATAATTAGCCCTCCTGTTTATTTTTTCGCTCAATTTCTGATAAATGGAGATGAGATTTTTTCAACACATTTTAAATCATAATAGTTTTAATAACTCATTTCTAATAACTGATTAATTTGATCTTTTTCCATGGTGACAGTAAATAATATTTTACTAGATATTTTTCAGGACACTTTTATACAGCTTAAAGTGACATTTAAAGGCTTAATTAGGTTAACTAGTTCTATAGACTATCAAAAAAATAGCTTAAAGGGGCTAATAATTTTGACCTTTTAATCTAGCCAAAATAAAACAAAGAGGACTTTCTCCAGAAGAAAAAAAATGATCAGACATCCTGTGAAAATTTTCTTGCTTAAAGAGGGGGCTAATAATTCTGATTACAGTTAGGGTTAGCTTCAAAGACAATTACAATGTTTAATTTACAATATTCAGACGGCAGAGAGACAATACGCTGTTTTGCCAACTGTAATAAAAACAAGTGGAAGAAGAAGAATTGTTTGGAGACATGGGTTATCAGTGTTGTGTTTATAAATGTGCTGCAAATAAGGTTTTGTTTCCATTTGTCCGCTATGATAGCGCAGCTGGACTCACATGTGAATTACAGTGGTCTGCTATGCAACAAAAATATGTTTGTAAGGAACTTTTTTTTTTAGAGCTTTTCGAATCTGGAAATGGTAAAATCCGGATTTGCTACTTGTCTTCTTTTAAATAAAGAAGCAGTTCCAGGTTGTGTTAATTGTCCTGTCTACGGATTTGGTAAGTGTGCGATCAATGTTCTCTGTTTATGTTTATTCAGATGGCAAAGATATTTAGTATTGTCAGCAGTTCTCTTTCAGTTTTTAAAGACATACCTTAGTCAAAATGATTTATTTACTAAGTTTACAGTACGTTAATATCACTACAATATTATGGACTGAAGATCCGCTGTAAATGCTGCTCTCCGAATGTAAACGCTTTAGTCAAACTATTAACATTGTGTATGATTTTTGCAGCATTTTGTGACAGGATAGTCTATACAAACACATTTGTCTGACACTATTCTCTGCACCTACCGAGTGCATCTAAGTTACCGAGAAGTTCAGAGGTTTTTTTCTCTGATACGGTGTGCAGTATTAAATTCCATTAAAACAACACTCTTCCAGCAGCTCCTTGCATCCAATATCTTTTTTGATAAATAATAAATAAAGAATAAAACACCCAAAATGACATAAAACTCTGGAGGAAATGTGGATAGCATGGTGACGTGATGATGTTAAGTAACATGTAAAATGGGATCATGAAAGGAACATTCAAAAAGCAACTCAGGTAAACACCTGAATTATATTATTGTCTTATTCACATTAAGGCAAATAATTCCATTACTGATTACTTGTATTCGACAAGTGACATTACAATATGGCACTGAATGGAACAATGTTAAGAACTTCATTAAATATGTCATGATGCGGTTGCGCTTCTCATCTGGTGTGTGAAATCTTTTTTCCAAGTCTGTCTGCGAGTGATCATACATCTGTACCATAATCTGTACCAGCTTTGCTACTCGACACTCCACCATTCATGTTTTTAACTTGGTATTGTTATGCTGGAGGTTTTTCTCGTGTCTGACTCTGAACTGCATGCATATGAAGCACGTCAAAGAAGGCAAAGTTCCAGCACTCAGCAAATGAGTAATCGTCGCGGACCAATGGTACTTCAAATGTTCTTAAGACCAATACAAACTCCATAAAAAGTTTGCTTTGGTTAGGGTTAGGGTTTCAAAACAAACTAAAAAAGAACTTTGTTTTGAATGGATTTTGTTGAAAATGATGTCATTTCAGTTTCTTTTTCTATTTCATTTGTAATAAACTGGGGCCTTAACCAGCAACCAGCTCTGCAATTCTCACATGATCACACACTGAAGCTGAGCAAGGCTGCGCCTGGTCAGTATCTGGATGGGAGACCACACAAGAAATATAGGTTACTGCTAGAAGAGGTGTTAGTGAGCCCAGCAGGAGGCACTCAACCTGCAGTCTGTGCGAGTCCTAACGCCCCAGTATATTGATGGGGACTATATACAGCTTAGTGAGCCTCGTCTTTCGGATGAGAAGTAAAGCAGAGGCCCTTACTCCGTGGTCTGTAAAAATAATTGAAAACGAGTAGGGGTTTAACCCCGGCATCCTGGCCAATTTTCCCCACTTGCCTCTGTCCATCATGGCTTCCTAACCATCCCCATATCGAAATTGGCTTCATCACTCTGTCACCTTTTTACCAATCAGCTAATGTGTGGTGTTCGGTCTGGCACAATATGGCTGCCGTCGCATCATCCAGGTGTATGCTGCACCCTGGTGGTGGATGAGGAGATTCTCCACAAAAATTTATAAAGCGATTTGAGTATTTAAAAAGCTCTATATAAATGTAATGAATTATTAATAATATTAACTCTGATTCACACTATCATGATAATACTCTAAGTTTTCAATACTTTATCTCATTCATAAAAATGATTTTGAATCTCGTAGGATGTAATGAGGATGACAACTTCAATGATGCCACACGCAATCAAAAAATGCCATTGTTTGTTGATAAATATGCACCCTCTAGTGGTTACACACTGTGCCTTTAATTTTTAATGATACTTAATAGCATCATTAATAGATACTAAATAGTGCATTTGTGCAATACAAGCATTTAAAGCAGGCCAAGCCAGAACTGACATCTTTAAAAAGCTCAATCAAATCTTTCAAGCTTTATTTTCATGGTGATATCAAGGCCTGTTAGTCTGTGTAAACACTGTTCAGGCAACATTTTAGTGGCAAGAAAACACGCTCTGCCATTAAAACCCTTTTGGCCTATCAGATTTAAACTGTATGTTTATTTTTAACAATTGTTCAACAAACTTACTTAATGAAGTCCCCTTCGATCCCGATGACCCGTTTGATGATCTTCTGCTGAGGGTTCTTTGGGCTCCTGTGAAGAGATATGAGATTGTACATTTGCATAGTGATGACAGACCTGCTAGCGGTTTATTTGAGGATGCTGCTGAGCTCAGTGGATTATGGGGCATTAGGGACAGTTTTCAGAGACCAGATGGGTCTTATCTATTGGAGGAAGTCAAGAAAAGGCTTCATGAAATGTCAAAACTCTTGATTTTCGGGGTACTGTGTTATTAGATTGTATTTCATTTGATTCAGTTAGCCAACTTAACAAAGTAATATGCAGAGAGTGGTGCTAAGACTGTTTGTAATTTTAATGTTAACAATTTCTGTAAAAAACAAAACATTTCAGAAGTTGAGAATCACATGGCAAATTAGTTGTGCTAAAAGATATATTATAGCTTATATTAAATAATAAATAATATTAGCTGCATCTTTAATCATTTCAAAGTGAAACTCCAATAAGTTACATAAAAAATTGTGTTTAATTTTCCTATAAACAGCTAAACATTACTGTCACAACACTTTCATAACTAGAACATGCATCTGCATTTTGGAAATCAAATGTCTGATATAGTTATGTAATTAGCTTATATTAGCTGCATATTTTAGGTAGAGTGGAGCTATAAACCTTTTAAAATTGTTTTAAAGATGTCTCAGATAAACATGGACATGGCAAAGGTATGCACACACTGCACAAGTTCAAAAACAGCCAATCAGTGGTGCTAAATGGCTAATGTTAGCTGCACGTTTCACAATAGTTTCAAAGTGAAAGTCCAGTAAGTTGCATAACATTTTTTTTCTTAATCTACAGTTAAAATGTCCTTGAGAACGCTTGTATTCCTAGTTCACGCATGTATTGTGGCAGTATGAAAATCAAATGTTTGATGTTGCTAAATAGCTAACATTATCTAGCTGCACATTTGAAAAAACTTTTGTTTTACCTTTCTCAGAAATGTCTAAATGTATAAATGTGAATATGCCAACATGTTATTATGCTGATTCAAGCACATATTGTGCAAGTGTAAAAATAGCTGATAATATAGGGCTAATACATTAGCTAATATTAGCTGCATATTGCGCAGTAGTTAAAAGTGAAAGTCCAGCAAGTTGCGCTAAAATTAATATTTAGTTGTTTTTTTTTAAACAGTTAAACGTCACTGAGACAACACTTTCATAACTAGTTCATGCTTGTATGGCAAGTCCAAAACCAAACATTTGACGTTGGTAAAAAGCTAATATTAGCTGCACATTTTAGTTTAGGCCTACAGTGGAGCTATAAAACATGTTGTTTTCTCAGAAATGTCTCAGATAAAAGTGAATATGTCAACATTTTGAAATGATGTGCAAGTGTCAGATCAGTGATGCTAAAAGGCTATTAGCTGCATGTTTCAAGGCACTTTGCATGTGGAAAGTCCAGTGTGTGCCATTAAAAAGTGTGAATTACCGTGGCAACAATTTATATGTTGATTCATGAATATATCATGCCAGTTTGGCCAATGAGTTGTGCTTAAAGGCTAACATTAGCTATTAGCAACTGAATTTTTCCTTCCACATTAAAAATAAAATGTCCAATGAGTGGCACCATAGAGTGTGTTCAGTTTTGACAGAAATACACTACCTGACAAAAGTCTTAAATGACACGCAAAGGCCTCTAGATTAGGCTTATTTTACCAAAATAAAATATGTAATAAAACATGCCTTGATTTTAAATTATTTAATTAGGACTGAAAGATCTGACTTTGCTTAGACAAAAGTCTTGTCACTTAACAGAAATAATGTCCAGTATGGAATATAAAGTCATGGCGCAGTGAATAGAGAATTAATATTGTGTATGACTCCCATGAGCTTGGAGGTCTGCATCCATACATCTCTGCAATGACTCAAATAATGTATTAATAAAGTCATCTGGAATGGCAAAGAAAGTGTTCTTGCAGGACTCCCAGAGTTCATCAGATTGTTTGGATTTATCTTCAATGCCTCCTCCTTCATCTTACCCAAGTTAGCCTAATAATGTTCATCTCTGGTGACTGGGCTGGCCAATCCTGGTGTATCTTTGCTTTCAGAAACTTTGATGTGGAGGCTGGAGTATGAAAAGGAGCACTATCCTGCTGAAGAATTTGCTCTCTCCTGTGGTTCTATTCTAATGGACAGCACAAATGTCTTGATACCTCAGGTTGTTGAAGTTGCCATTCACTCTTCACATCTCTCACATGCCCTCATACTGAATGTAACCCCAAACCATGATTTTTCTTTCACCAAACTTGACTGATTTCTGTGAGAATCTTGGGTCCATGTGGGTTCCAATAGGTCTTCTGCAGTATTTCTGATGATTAAGATGCAGTTCAACAGATGATTCATCTGAAAAATTTACCTTCTGCCACTTTTCAAAATGATCAACTAGAAGTCAGGTTATAATCTGTTGCTCTTACAACTGAGATCGACAACAAAACTTTTGCCAGGTAGTGCGGTTGGATGTAAATGTTGCAACATTTTATTATCCAGATTCATGCATATGTTGTGCCAATTAAATGATCAAATAGCCAGTGAGTGGTGCTAGAAGGCTAAAATTACCATTATCCCTCAGCATAATAGCCTTATTTTTTTTAATAACAAATAAAATACACTAAACTTTACCATAAACACGTAAATATTCACTCTTCTATTTTTATTTTATGAAAAATTATTATTTTATATTATTTATAATATTATTATTTTAATATACAGACAGACAGCATGTACATCAACTGCTGCAACCTTCTTACTGTCAACAAATTACAGATTATTAATTGCAGTCTAAACTGAAAACAATGGCGACACAATCGTTCTTGCAGAAAAATTGGTGCTTCCCTTGTTTGATATTTTATTAACGCAACATATATTATAGATCAATTATAGACTGTTTATTATAAATATCATCATCTATCACCACACAGTCCAAACCATTTCAGTGAGCATTTATTTCCATGACCTTTCCAAGCCTGTTTTGTAATATTTTAGAGTTTTTCTCTTACTTTGAATACCACATTTGGCTTACTTTGAGGTCAGATCACCAGAAGTGTCACATTTGTAGCTTTAGTTCCATCAGTTTTGACCTGATCCCTCACATCATTACCCACAATGACCCTGACAGCGACCGAGCCACAACCTCGTCATCCGCAAGACTGCAAACTTCTCATATCATCCACTTCTGAAACTTTGGTTGTCACTCGGTGCTGTATGGAATTTCATGTACGGTAATCTTTTCTGCTTGTTGCCTTTCCGCAAGAATGCTTTCTTAGCTGCAACACGCCCTGTAAGACTTCTTATAAGATGACTTTTCTCTGGGTTGAAATGTGTGCTTTGGTGCCAAATGTCTCTCAAACGCTGAGCAAGCACTTCAGTGAGAAATTGCCTACTTTCTTTGTGACAGTTTGAACACCATGTCTTGAAAATCTAAACGCTGAAGAACCAAAACTGGTGTCTTATGATGACAGTTAGACAATTTTTTTTTTGTTATCTTCTTTTGAATACTGCTTATTTATATCATGCATTCACTGCAGAAACTATTTTTATAAAACAAATTGATATAAAAGTTCACAAATAATTTCACATAAATGGCAAGTAAAGTCAACATCTTGCATTTAACACTTTGTTTTATTAACTGACTGCAAGACTATAGGTTTTTATAGCAAGTTTTTAGGCAACCATAACACCCCAACCACCAGCCTGAACTTGTACCATTGATACATGTATAAGGCAAGTTGGATCCATGCTTTCATGTTGTTGAAGCCAAATTCTGACCCTACCATCCGAAAGTCACAGCAGAAATCGAAACTCATCAGACCAGGCAACGTTTTTACAATCTTCAGTTGTCCAATTTTGATGAGCTTGTGCAATTTGTAGCCTCAGTTTCCTGTTCTTAGTCGACAGGAGTGGCACCCAGTGTGGTTTTCTGCAGCTTTAGCCCCTCCACCTTCCAGGTTGGACATGTTGTGCATTCAGAGATACTCTTCTGCCTACCTCGGTTGTAATAAGTGGTTATATGAGTTACCTTTCTATCAGCAGGAACCAGTCTGGCCATTCTCCTCTGACCTCTGGCATTAACAACATTTGTGCCCACAGAACTGCAGCTCACTGGATATTTTCTCTTTTTCGGACCATTCTCTATAAACCCTAGAGAGGTGTTGTGTGAGAAAATCCCAGTAGATCAGCAGTTTCTGAAATACTTAGACCAGCCCGTCTGGCACCAAAACACATGCCACATTCGTAGTCATTTAAATCACCTTTCCTCCCCATTCTGATGCTCAGTTTGAATTGCAGCAGATCATCTTGACCATTGTTGAGTCCGAAACCGCATACTTCCATACTATAGAGTACGCTAAAATTAGTTTGCGAGTCGAGTTGTATGTCCGAATGCATAGAATTTGAAAATCAGTAAGCGAGAAGTACCCGGATGACCTACTATTTCCTGCGAGATTCTGAAATGCGCATACCATGCCTGGTGCACTATCCCATAATGCCCTGCAAGAGAATTCATGAATGGGAGTAAAGCGATACAACTGAAGCAAGTAGGTCACATGACTATGAGAAAATTGGGGTTGTAGTACGTCCAAATTCCATTCATACTTCTCCCATTCATACTCTATAGAACGTACTTTTCGTAGTACGTTTAAATTCAAATGCAATATCTACTGAGTAGTAGGCGGTTTCGGACGCAGCCCATATCTACATGCCTAAATACACTGAGTTGCTGTCATGTGATTGGCTGATTTTAAATTTGCATTAACGAGCAATTGGACAGGTGGACCTAATAAGGTGGTTGGTGAGTGTAAATTGTCAACTGTATTGTCAATTGTATTTTCACAAGCAAGATTTTCTCTTAAAAAATCACAATTTTCAGAATTTACAAGAACTTTGACTGGAGTGCGTGTCAATTCTGACTTTATATCTTGCAATTGTGCAAAAATTACTTTTATATTCTCTGAATTGTTACATAAAAACTCAAAATTATGAGAAAAATTGCAATTGTGATATTTTAGTGCAACTTCATTA